CACCTGCAAAAAATAAATCAACTCAAATCCCTCCTCCTCCAGGAAGACCTCCCAGAACACTGGCTTTTGTTTCCCCTGACTAGCTGGGTACCCTTGGATAGTTCCTTGGTTGTGGGATTCAGGCTCTGGTTTCACAGGTACTGCCTTTGGCTTTCTGGTGAGACGAGGCCTCTGGTTTTTGCCTGTTGAGGGTCTGGAACCGCACGCTGCTGTGAGCACGGCTTATATTTTTGGTCTCCTTCATACACTGCAGATAGCCTGTGACCTCCTGCCCAGTCTGTCACAGGGGCACGATGGATGACTGCCTGAATCAGCAGGAAGAGGTGGAGTGAGGAATAGAGGGGAGCTGAGAGTGCCTGTAAGGAGCACTGAGCCAGGAGTCAGCGCACGAGAGCCATGGGCCCTTCTGGATGTGCTGGGCTACAGCTCATATGCCAGCAGGCAGGGCCTGTGTCTTTTCAGTCACCTCACCTTCTTAGGGGCTGACTCAAGTGCCACTCCTTGGGCCAGCGTGACGGGACAGCGGGAAGGGCACTCGCCTCACACAGCCGGCCCGGGTTCTATCCACAGCACTCCATCGGTCCCCCGAGCTCCGCCAGGAGTGATGAATCCATCCGTGATCCAGGGGCAGGCGTGATCCCCGAGCACAGAGCTCTGAGCTGGGCTCTGAGCTGGCACCGGCACCTTCAGCAGCACGGGGGTCACCGTGCGTGTGGGGAACTGCCACCCACACTGTCCCCGCGCTGGCCTGAGGGCGGGAATGATTCCGGGGCTCTGCCCAACCTGGCAGGTGAGTCTCCCCTGTCTCGGCCCGCCGCCCAGCACCGTGCAGGAATGCGTGGCATTTCTGGAAGTGCCTCCACTGTGGAATGTGTGACAGACAGGAGCCTGGGAGGGGTGGGGGGCCCCCATGTGGGCCCCCGCCCAGAGGGCCCAGCTCAGGCCCAGCGGCATCTGGCAGATGCACCAACACTGCCCCTTCCCCATCGCCACTGGACCACTTGGGAACACTTAAGTCTTTCTGAGAGGGATGCCAATGACAGAGGCCGTCTCCTAGTGTGGCCCCGGTGTTCCCACCCATCCTCTCACTCACCAAACACCCCAACCCCACCCCGGGAGCATTTTTATTCCACTGTCCTACAAGAAAGGCCAAGCTCTCCTAGACAAGTCACTTGTGTGAAATCTCCAAGCAGAATTTGTTGTTGTTTTGTTTTCATTTGGGGACCACACCCCGTGATGCTCAGGACTTGCTCCTGGGGGGCTCATGAGGAGAAGCAGCATCTGGGGTTCCCGGGGATCAAACCCAGCTGCATACAAGGTAAGCGCCCTCCCTGCTGTACTATCACTCTGGCCTCACCAAGCAGTTTGAAATGCAGGTTGACGCAACAGTCTGGCCAATCGGACCCGATTGTAGGCGTGCACACCTTCAGAAAGGTCCGAGGAGCATACCCATTTTCCAGATGAAAAGATAGAAGCTCAGAGAGCAAAGTAACTCAGCGCGAGTAGAGAGATGTCTTGGGAAGGGCAGGTGTTGAACCCGAAGGTCCCTGATTCTGACCTGGTCATGCTCTCCATGGCGGCTGGCCTCCCTAGGGGGGTCAGCTCACTGAACTGACATGGTAGCTGGGGAAACCGAGGCACAGAGAAAGGACAAAGGCTTTTGGTCATGAAGGGGCAGTCATGGGGTGTCCTGGAACCGGGGCAGCGTATCCCCACGTAGAATCAGAGCCCAGATCTACCGACAATGGCTCCAAGCCCAGCACTCTCCTTGATGCTGGCTGGCTGGAAAGACTTTGAATGAAAGTAGCGTCCGTGTCTCCTTGAAGGCGAGCGAAGCCCCCGCATCATCAGCAGCCTGCGAGGCACCCGGGCATCGTGCCCCTTCCCTTCGTGGGGGGAGAGGGGGGCTTGGCGCAGGATACAGCCTCACTGCTTGCTCGCCGTCTCCCGTGGGACCATCCATCTGCCAAGCCCCGCAGAGGGGAGGGGTGTGCTCCCAGCTCCTGGGAGATGAACCCTGCTTCTGCCTCTGCAGAGTTCTCCTTGGGGCTGGGGTGCCAATGGATGGGGTGGGGGGCGGCGAGCAGGGCACACAGTGGTCCCTCCCGCCCAGATGTGGACCGGAAGGTCACCTGGATCTAGAGCAAGCTGACAAGATGGGGGTGGAGGGAGGAGAAGAAAAATGGGTGTTAAAGGCGCCAAGTCTCCCAGAAATTTAGGGGCCGGGGGGGGCACCCCTCCCGGCCTCCATCACACGCCCCCACTCCCAGCTTAGGAAATGTCCACACAGAGGAAAGGGAAATCCCACAGATTGAGGTAGAGGACTGAGTTCACTTCTCACCTGCCCCCAGAGAATGCTCCAGGCTTACCTCATGCCACTTCCGTCTCTATAGGAGCCGGAGCAGGGGGGGTGTTGGTGGGGGGGAGCTCCCAACTCTTTCCCTGTGCCCGAGGAGAACAGGCACCTCCAGGAAACCTCTTTCTTCTCTTTTTTGAAACCACTCTCCGTTTGGGGCAGAGAGGATGACAAGTCAGTGCTTGCCCTGCAGCCGACACAGAGCATCGCGGCAGGCAAAGCCACTCCAGGGAGGGGTTTGCCGTGGAATGAAGGAGGACGGAGTCCTAGAGAGGCGACGGGGCTGCAAGGGACCTCGAAGATCTCCCGGCTGACCGTTGGGTGGCCTCCACGCCATTTCTCATCCCAGCCCAGCTCGGGCAAGCAGGGGTCCTGGAGGTGCCCTCCCCAGGGCTCCCTATAGGCTGTCTCCTTCCCGCCCCAGGGCTGACCCACTCTCTGGCTTCTAGGTGAGGCCCAGAGCTAATTTTCTGTTGTCCCGGGAGAGAGCAGGGCTAAAAAGCGCACACCGGGGTGTGTATCCACCTCCCAACCCTCCTCTCAATTCTGAGAGGGCTGACGCCTTCCTCCGGAGACTTGGCAAGACCCCAATAAAGATCACTCGTGACCCCAGTGGCTGGGAAGGACCCGTGCTAAGAGTTTAAGAACAGAGTTATGGGGACCAGAGTGATATAGCAAAGCAGGGAGGGTGTTTGCCTTGCAAATGGCCTATCCAGGTTTGATCCTGGGCATCCTATTTGGTCCCCAAGCACAGCCAAAAGTAATTCCTGAGTGCAGAGCCAGGAGAAAGCCCTGAGCATCACCGAGTGTGACCCAAAGAGAAAAGAAAAGAAAAGAAAAGAAAAGGAACAGAGTTATGGGGTGGCCCGGGGACAACGTAGTTGGTAACGCCCAGTAAGGTAAAGGTCCCAAATTAGATCCCCAGCACCAGGCCACATGCTGACACAGTCCCCACGGCACTGCATTTGGGACCCGCGGCTTCACATCAGAATGAGCCTCCTCTTGCGTGCCACTACCACCCCAATCAGCTCAACAACGAGACTGGCAACGACCAAGGGAAAGAGGACAAATAAATAAAACATGATGCAGGGAGACCCCGAGTTTTCTTTCCTTCCCAGAATCTGGTCTTCTGCCCTCCGCACCTGAGGACTTGGTGAACCAGCTGTGAAGCCTCTTCTTCAGCAAACTAGCTGACACTGCCTGAGTCCCATCAGCTGATGGGTCACCCAGGGATGCCCTGGCCATCTTTCCAGGGGGCTTGGGGCGCCCTCCTTCCCCACGTGGGAAACAGAAGTGCTGTATCAGGAGGGAGTGGCCTTCAAAATCGCCAACCCGAAGCCTGAGGGTTACTTTCAGAGGACTGTGCAGTCCACTTCTCATCTTTGGCCACTCCCCGGCTTGGTTCTATGACTCAGCTGTGCCCTGGACAGGCGCAGAGGAGAGAGGAATCTAGGCAGGGTGGCGCAGTGCGCTGGCTTCTTGGTCCTCACTGCCCAGGAGCGGGCAGCTGGCCTGGCCAGCAGGCTTTCTTCTGGGCCCTTCATCTAAAGGGTGTCAGGAAGTGTCTCAGGAAGTGTCCTGCACCGTGTGCAGTAGAGTTGGCACGGAGAACATTACTCGGACCCCTTGCAGGAGCCGTTCACTCTGCAGCTGTGTCCCGGTGCTCGAGTGCGTGTGTGTGAGGTGAGGGGTCAGAACTCCTTGCCAGTGCGTTCCCCGTCATCCCAGCACCCCCAGACACTCCGGCTCCCTCTTTGTCTCCTCTTGGAGGTGTGCGTGCAAAACCTTGCGCCGCGCGTCCCGGCCGGCGTGCGAGCGCGGGGGGCGCACCCTCGCTCCCCCACTCTTCCCGCGGGGCCACGGTGAGCCGGAGCCTGGTGCTGTTTGGTCTGGAGCCGAGCGGGGGCTTGCATTGATCCATTGATTGTGCGCGGTCTGCGCCTGACCTCCCTGCTCCCGGGGAAGCCGTCTCCATGGAGACCGGGCCGGCTCCCCCAGCTCGGGATTGTAAATTCCTGCAGGCAGCGGGCGGCCCGGCAGCCTGGGGAGGGGGCGCCGCGCCCGGGCGCGCAGGGGGAGCGGCCGCCGCGCCGAGGCCCCATTTGAAAGGAAAAAAGGGCACGAAAAAGGAGGTGGTGAAGGAGGAGGGGGAGTGGGGGGGGGGAGGAGGAGGAGGAGGAGGAGGAGGAGGAGGAGGAGGAGGAGGAGGACGAGAAAGAGCGAGGAGAGGAGGAGAAAGAGGAGGAGGAGAAAGGCGAAGAAAAAGAGCCGGAGCCTGGGAGAAAGCAGGAGAGGAAGAAAGAGAGGCAGAAAGGGCGTGTTTCTGGGGCTGCGTTTCCCCTCCCCTTTCTCAGGTCCCCGGCCGAGGCTCGGCGCGCTCTCGGGCTGCAGCTCTCTCCGGGCGAAGCTGGGCAGCGGGTGCGATCATTCGGAGCCCAGCGCGGCGCCCCCCAGCCTCGCCGCGCCCCGCGCCCCGCGCCCGGCGGCCGGCCCGCAGCCCGCTGCGCCGGGAGCCTCCGGCCGAGGGCGCCGCGCCCCGCGCCCGCCCGCCAGCCCGGCCCCGGCGGGGCGCCCGGTCCCCTCCCCCGCCGGCACGCGGGGGACCCGGCCCGCTTCCGCCGGCCCCAGGCGGCCGGGCCCGGCCCCGGCTGCCCCCCGGCCCCCGTGCGAGCCGCGACCATGGGCTCGGGGCGCGTGCCCGGGCTCTGCCTGCTCGTCCTGCTGGTCCACGCCCGCGCCGCGCAGCACGGCAAAGCGGCGCAAGGTAAGCGGAGAGGGGCGCGGGGTTGCGGGGCGCGGGCGCGGGGCTGCGGCTGCCAGGGGCCGGGGCAGGTGCGGGGCAGCGCGCGCGGCTGTCACGGCCCGCGCCGACGCCCCCGCTGGGGAGCTGGGCTGGGGGGCGACTGTGTGTGTGTGTGTGTGTGTGTGGTGTTGGAGGGGGGTCGCGTGGTGCGCCCCATGCGCACCAAGGTTGGAGGAGCCGCCGAGCCGGCCCCGGGGAGGGTTTTTATTGGGGGGCACGGAGGTCCAGGGCCGGAGGGACCGCCGCACACCTCCCAGTTCTGCTACTCCATCTTCCTCCAGACTTCTGTGCCCTCCCCAAAGTCCCCGCGGCGGCTCCGTTTCTCTCAAACACTGCCAGCAACTCCCGTCGTGGCCTTAAAGTTGAGAGAGCTCGCAAAGAAGGAAAACTTTTCCGCCAGGCCGTCGATTCCTTCCTCATCCCCCTTCTCCCCCTCCTCCCACCCGTCGTGCCGACGTTAGACGTTTCGGAGCTGTGGTCCTTTGCCGTGGGCAAACGGTACCGAGAAGGAGCATCTTTTGCTGGCCAAACCAGCTCTGCCGCGGCTGTGGGGCAAGGGGCCGAAGAGAGGAGAAATTTCATCGCTCTGGCTCCGGGCAAGAATGTCGCGTTTCTGCCTCTTTGGGGAGGGGGGAGTGGGGGTGGGCGGGGGAGCCTCTCGCCTTTGCATGGCTTTCATTTCTTATCATAATATTTATTTATTAAGGCCCCGGGTTTCCAATTCCATTTAAATCCAGGTCAGAATTGCATTAAAATAACAAAGTCAAATTCCAGGCCAGGCAGCTCCGAGGGATCCCTCTAGGAATTAGAGAGAGGCCGGGAGGCCCCTGAGCCCCGCTCCGTGACCCCAAGGCTGGGCTGTTAGAAACGGGGTTGGTGGGGCCAGGCGGGCGGCCTGGGGGACAGTCTCCCCTCCCCCCTTGACCGCTTGCTGCACCCTCCCCCCTCCTGCCCTCACCCAGAAAGAGATTTATATGGTCAAAAAGAAAAATTCCTCCTGGCAAAGGCTTTGCCCTGGAGGCCCCCCTACTTTTTACTGCCCGCCCCTGGTTCCTGATTGGGGGGGGGGGCGGGAAGCCCGGCAGCCAAGCTGGGGTGTGAGATGGTTGGCCTAGAAGGGAACATTGAACTTGGGAGTTGGGGAGCCCCGAGCGTCTGGCGTTCTGCACCCGGTGTGTCCGAACTCAGCGGCTCCGCGCGGCGCGGTGTCCACTCACCTCCCCTCCCACTCATCCACCTCATCCTCATTTCCCCAAACATGCCTCTTCCCTGAACCCCGAACCCCTTCCTCCTCCAACCTGTCCTACGCGACCCACACAGAGCTCCATAGTTGTCAGACCCTACCCCCACCCACCCCCTGGCAGCCTCCAACTGCTCCCTCTTACTCCAGTCCCCGACCCCCTGGTCAGTCACACAGCCCCTCCACGGCCACCCGGGGCTGGGCGCAGCCCCCTCCCGCTGCTGTGGACTGACTTGTGTTTTCATAAACAAAGCTGGCTTTTGTAGTGTATGCTGACTTACTCATAACATGGAATTAGCTCGGGAGTTTAGTCTGAAGGAAGGAGCAGATTTCATGCAATAATCCACAGACGAGATAAGGGCTGCTTTCAAGTTGGAGCCAGTGTCTGTTGTGGAGTATTCCGTGGGATGTGGGGGGGTGGGGGGCGCCGGAGACTCCTAGAAGGGACAGGTGCTACCTGCCCTGGGCCCGGCTATTCAGAAACGTGCAAACTGGTCTGAGGAGGTGACCAGGGCACACGGTGGCCAGACCAGGAGGATGTTCCCTGCACCCCCTCCAGCCCCACTCAGTGATGGACCAGGTGGCCTTATTTCCTAGACAGTGTAGGGAGAGAGGGCATCCCCGACTTCCCCAAGCCATGTCATGGGTCCCAAGGGTGCGTTCAGACCACATGCTCTTCAACGCGGAGCCAGCCTGTCTTCGAAAGACACATTCTCTATGCAGAGAGAGTTGCCCTGACCTCTGGGGACATCTGGGGCTCTGTCCCTTCGCCTCAGAGCCTCCAGGGGGAGGACCCAAGTGATGCGGAGTTGGGGAACGGAGGGGTAGAATGCAGGCCAGGCTCTGTGTGCATGTGTGTGCGCGTGTGTGTGCACGTGCAAGGTTTGCCACCATCAGGTGACAAAGCTCCCCGTCTCTTGCGACTCGGTTGGTTGCTAACGGTGATCGTACCCCAGTTCTTGCATCCCCCCAGAACCACGGGGGATGGGGAGGGGACGCTTGGTATGACTGGGAGTGGGGGTGCAAAAGCGGCCGAGGAGGCTCCGAGTGTTTTCCAGTGTGTCTGGCCGTGTATTCTAAAGTAGACAGACTGGATAACCAAGATAATTGTTAACTTAAAAGCATTAATTTGCTTTGCTTTTTTTGGGGGGGGGGAGCTGGGGGGGGGGGGGGAGCAGCCGCAGTTGAAAAAGCCGTAATCCCCGCGGAGGGCTCAGGTTACAGCTGAATGAAAAGGTCTCCTGGGCTCGGGAGGAAACTTGTCCGCAGGGCGGGCTCGGGGGAGCCAGGCTGGCCCCAGCCTCTCTCTACCTGGCTGTTTGCTGATAAAGTTGCGTATTTAGAGTTTCGCCGTGCGCGCGCGCGCCCCCCGCTACACAGGGCGTCTCTGTGCCCGGAGCGTCTCGGGTCTCCGTCTGGGGGCGTGTGCGTGCGCCCCGCTCGCCTCCCCCCACCCCCTCCGCCCTCCCCTTTCATGTGGCTGCTCCCCGCTCCCCCGGCTCCTGTGGGCAGCCGTACAGTGAGCGAACTGTTCCTCCCCGCCCCTCCCGCCCCAAGACGAAATGGAAACCAGCACCGTGTCCGCGGGCGAGGGTGGCCCCCGTGGGCAGCGCCGCGCGCCCCATCCACGCCACAGGGCAGAGGGGGCGGTCCCGCGCCCGGCGCCCCGAGTCCGGCCACCCCTCAGTGCCCATCCTGGGCTCCTTATCTCCCACCCCCTGTCCCCCAAGGGTGGAGAAGGCGGGTGGACCGCCTAGAAATTCCTCTGGAATCCCTTTGACCTCTCTCCTCTCACTGACAGATACCCCCACCCCCGGAGGGGAGCGGGGCTGGGGGAGTACCCACACTGGTCCCACTGCTGACCCCTGATCTCCTTCCGCCTCTCCCGGGCGGAATGAGGGAGGGCTGGGGTGGGGTAGGGGGCTGAAAGACCCTGGGGCCAGATTTACTGCCGGCAGTGGAAGAGGAAAGTTCGCAGCCACCCCGTCTGTGAGATTATTTTTCTGGAACCTTCAGGAAGCAGAGAGGGCCTGCTGAGTGGAGTGAGGTGGGCGCCCAGGGAGACCTGCTGTGGAAGGAGCCGGGCCTGGTTGCGTGTTCATGGGGCCATGTGCACGGGTATGCCGTACCTGGGTGTGTGCACACGTGTGTGCATGTATGTGATGGGTGTGTGTGCACGCATATATGTCTGGATGTGTATGAGCATGTGTGTGTGTGCACACATGTGCTGTGCATGCAGGGCCTGTCCCAGATCGGCGTGTGCATGAGTGTCTGTGTATACTCGTGTGTGCGTGCTTGCGTGTGCCTGGGCTTCTATGTATGCTCGTGTGTGTACATGCGTGTGCCTGACCCAGATGTGCGTGTTGTGCATGGGACGTCTATGCACGCGTGTGCGTGCACGCACATGGCTGACCCAGATGTGCGTGTGCATGGGCGTCTGTGTGTGCGTGTGTGTGCGTGTGCACAGGTCCAGGCCAGAGAGAGGGAAAGAGGTTGCTGGCGTGGCGCCGGCCTCTTCCTTTCACTGGAGAACTAAAGAGGTGGAGTGTCTTGGGGCTTGGTCCCTGAAGAAGTGGCAGTGCCCACTTCTTCAGCCCAGTTGTAAGACCTGAGTCTGGAAACAGGGTCTGCTGGGCTCTCCGGGGGTGTGTGGTGGGGTTAGGAAAACGAGCCTAAGGATTGGGGAAATCCTTTCCTCTCTTGTCACATGAACTCCAGTACCAGTCGGGTCCCTTCGTCTTGCAGCTCTGGCACGTGGCATGGGAGTGCCCCAGTGGACGGGGTGAAGAGATGGTACAGCAGGTAGGGCTCTTGCCTTGCACGCAGCCCACCTGGGTTCGATCTCTGCCATCCCATAGGGTCCCTTGAGTACTGCCAAGAGTGCAGAGCCGGGTAACCCCTGAACATCACTGGGTGTGGCTCCCAAATAAAACAAAACAAAAAGAAAAGAAATACCCCAGTAGGGAGTCTGGAGAGATAGTGCAATGGCAGGGCACTTGCCTTGCACACAGCCGACCCGGGTTCAATCCCCAGCACCACATATGCACCCCCCCCAATCCAGCACTATTAGGAGTAATTCCTCAGTGCAGTGCCAGGAGTAACCCTGAGCACCGCCAGATAGAGCCCCCAAAAAATGCCCCCGTGGGAGGCCCAAACCCCCATGGCAAGATTCTGACCAGCAGGAGCGCCCCAGAACTCTCTCCTGAGCCCCAGGCCCCCCTCCCCAGGCCCTGCTCCCCTGGCCCCAACCTCCATCACCACTCTCTTCTCATCCGTTCTTTCTCTCCCTGGTCCCTGAGACCCTCTGGTACTGGAGAGCTCTTCCCATTTCCCTCCAGACAGGCAGCATGCCCTGGGAACAGCCAGGCAGAGCAAGCCATGAGTGCACATGTGAATCCAACCACCTCCCTCCCCCCGGAGTCATGGCCAGTCTGAGGGCCAGACGTGGCACACAGCTGGGTACCCCTGGTGAGTTCTCAGCGAGGACCCTCCCCTCAAAGTCACACAGTTTCAAGCCGAGGTTCCGGTTTGCTTGCCAGTCTTACCCCTAATGCTCCCCAAAGAAGGCTTTAGGGTCCTCACTCTTCCCTCTGGCGCTGTGGGCTGGGATGCCAGCCTGGGCCAGGACTGATCCACGGGCTGATGCAGCCTCCACGGGGTGCATAGCAAGACACACACACACACACACACACACACACACACACACACACACACACACACA